GTATATATAGTTCATTTGGTAGTCAAGGGAAAGGGAAACCATTGACAAATAGCACACACTAATTAATAATATTATGAAAGGGATGTTGATTAATATTTATACTTAATTAATGAACCTTAAAATCAAATTAAAAGATAGTAGTGTTAAAATAGACTAAATGGGCTCCAGACATTATTATTATAATTATTATTATTGGAATATAAAAAACCAAAACTGTTTCACCTAATGGTTAGCCTTTGATACACCTTACAAAATATCAGCAATTTTTTTTTTTGGTAGCCAACCAGTCAGCCACGGTATCTAGAGCGTTGCCCCGACTAATCCGTTGGTCGACCCGCGTCGCACACCTGGCAATGGTGGGTGAGTCTCCCAACAAGGGTTTTCTGCATTCACAAGACTCGAACACGAGACCTTGCTTAAGAAACATCAAGCTGCTTACCACTTGAGCCAACCCCTGTTGGTAAAATATCAGCAATTTTGATCATTTGTATTTTGTACATTCATAGTTTTGTGTCAATTTTGAATGTTTGTATTTTTGTATATTTGTTTCAGTATATTCGTATTTTTGTTTCGATTTTGAATGTTTGTATTTTTGTATATTTGTTTCAGTTTCGCTCATCGTTATACAATAACCTCTGACACACCTCTGCAATTAATGAGTCGGGCAATGCAACCCAATTACTTTTGCTTTGACAGTCACAACTCACAGCCCAAAATAAGCACACACAAACAGAACACACAGAGTCTGCAAAACACCATTAACACCTCAAGGAACTTTGATTTCGACTCATTCAGTTATAAAATTATATTCCCCTGCCCACGGTGGGCAGTGCCCACTAGTTTGTTTTATATGAAAAACGTATTCTAAAAATACGTTTTTCAATTAAATTTAGTTTGTTTTATATGAAAAACGTATTATGAGAATACGTTTTTCAATTAAATTTAATTGAAAAACATATTCTCAGAATATGTTTTTCATATAAAATAAACTAGTGGGCACTGTCCACCGTGGGCAGGTGAGCGGGACTGTTCAGTTATATACAACCAAACAAAACACACTGCAAATTAACACACACACTATACAGCACATAGAAAACATTAAAACTAACTCAAAATCAAAACACACCTTCATTAATACTAAAACCAGCACTCATCACATATTACACATTACATTACATATTACAAACCAAACAATAGCAACTCACCATTTAAAAAAAAAAAAATACATAGTACACCCACCACTACAAGAAAATGATAAAATTCCAACGGAAATTTATTATAATAGAATGATACCAACGACAATTCCAACGGATATTTCAATACTATTCTTTCCGTTGGATTTTTTCAATGGATTCCAACGAAAATTCCAACAGAAATATTCCGTTGGAATGAGTTTTCCATTGAAATTTCTGTTGAATTTTGATGATTCCAACGGTGGATTTTCCAATATGGGTGGAAATAAAAATTCCAAAAGAAATCGCATATTCCAACGAAAATTCCTACGGTAAAAAACCGTTGGAAATATAGCCGTTGGAATCACCAAATTTCATCTAAAATTCCAACGGAAAACACATTCCAACGGAATATTTTCGTTGGAATTTCCGTTCCAACGGAAGCTATACCATTAGAATATCCGTTGAAATTTCTATTGGAATATATTACCATAGGATTTTCCGTTAGAATATAACAATTTTTTTGTAGTACACCTTTATTCTAATTTTAATTTTTT